TTTCCGTCTGTGATTGGAAGCGTGCCAATGACATGTTCGAGTATTACCACTTGTATCGTCTCAATACTCTGTCTTGCAGGTACAATGTAACTGTTATTCATGAATTCTTTTTGAATTTTCCTAAATAGCTTGCACTCACCAGATATAGGGTGTCTGTTCGTGATGTCTTCATCTTATTTACTCATTGTGTGGTTGATTAGGTCTTAGAAGTCAATCCATGTTCTCACATTAGCTTTGACATGTTCTCTACTGCTGCTTCGAAATATTCCATTGAGCAATTTAGGTCTCTTACTTATGTTGACCCATCTAATCACCAACAAAGGTTTGCCCATTAAGTCGTTTTTAGGCCATTTTTCAAGTTTCTTTGGGATTTTGTACGACATAATCTTCTTCCCATTGCGAATAACTCAGATCCCACACTAGGAGGTTGTAGGTTGATGCTCTTTATGCTTAATAGAGATCTTGTTCCATTTGGAGCAATTATCTGTCGCTCTTTTCAAACCAAAATTGTTGGACATGGCACTAAACACAAAAGGTCCCTTGTGTTTCCATGTCTCAATCATACGTTATGTAGTAACAAGGGAGTTGAGTTTGATCTTATTAATGTATAGTATGAGGCTCCTGTTGTCTATGATGAGTCCTCTATTGAGCTTAGTTATAAGCTCTCCAACTTTTGCTTTCCTAAGTCCTCTGCCTCGCCTGCTGCTTCTTCGCATATCTCTATGTTGCAATAGACAATTCAAGGTCAAGCAAATGAGCTTCACTACATGAGGAAGTTGGCTTCTTCTGCTCCCTGCCCAGGTGTCTCTCTGTTTTCTGCTCCATATAATATTCCTGTTGATCCACATGATGTAGCTATGGACCCTACTAGAGATTTGGTTGTTGAAAACTCTGATGCAGATTCTGAGGAGTCTTTTCTAGATGATTCTAAGGAGTCCCTAGCTTTTTAGGCCTCTGCATTGTTGTGTAGGTGATTCCTTATTTAGGTTTTGATTGTGTATTTTGTTGAACTCATTATGTTTGGGTGTATGACCTAACGGGGAGTGTCTTTTAAACAGAATGTATGTACTCTGGTGGAGTATCTTTTGAACAGAATCTATGTACTAAGGGGGAGTATCCTTTTGATCAAGATGTCTGTTGTGGAACTTTTTCGTTGTTTTTTGGGTCTCCATGATTGCTAATTGTGTCTATTGTTCATGCTTAATGAATCATTCATGGCCTTTCTTTTACTGTCTTGTATTTATTTTTGCGCTTTCCTGAAAAAAAAGAAAAAAAAAGAAAGGGGAAGATATACCCAACCAGTGCCGATTTATGTAATTTTAAACTTGTCTATGCTTGGAGGTTGTGTGTTTTTTTGTAGGTACATATTGTGTAAGATTTCTCCGATATATTCCAGTCTGTTTGGTTGGGTTGTGTGTTGAGTGTGTGAGCTTTTGGGTTGTTATCATGGAAAGCCAAAAATGAGGAGATTGTTAGGTTAGCTTTAGCTAGTTTGATGTTTTAGGCTTCCTTGAACGACACTGTATTTGCAATTGTAAAAGCATCAAGCTAAAACTTGCTTAGTCTAGGTTAGATTAGGTTGAAGAAGGCCTCTATGAGTCAGACAAATTGCAGCTCCTTAGATAATGACTCAAAGGTAATTTGCATATTTCATGCATTCGAATGCAACAGTTGTTTACCAGAGTCATTTCATATGATCAATCATCTGTTGGTATACATGTGTATTGATTAAGGACAGTACTTTTGAAATTTTACTTCACGGTATGTGCGGCAAGAAATTACTGATCATCCGGTCCTTTTTTAGGTGAGACCCAAGGGTATCCACCGCCGACAGCAGTGACTAATCCTTTTCGCCGCGGGAGCTCTCCCAATGGAGGTAAACGGCTGGCCACGAAATGCGCTCCATTCCCATGGGCGGGGATCGAACCCCCAACCTCATGGTTAAGGAATGAGGTGACCTACCACCACACCACATCTCATAGTTGTCCTTTTTTCAATAAAGCTAATGGTTATTTATTTCTTAAATTGTCTATAATACCCTTGTAATCATGACACAACATTTTTTTTATATTTCTCTATAATTATCGTATGGTTTTTATATTATTTTTTCTCTTTCTTCTACCCAACACACACACTTTTGCTACCTCTCTAACACACAGACCTTACCCACGCATACATTGTACCCCTCTTAATATATATATATTTTTTGGTGTGCTTGTGTGGTTTCTTTTTTAAGTTTATGTTTTTTTGATTTTGTATGTTATATTTTATTTATATATATATATATATATTTTTTAATATATCTGCATAATATTAATGGTTCTATTTTACACAATCTTTTGTATGTTACTCCAAATATGTTTCTAGAATTTTTTTTTCTATAGTTGATTTTCCCACTTTCTTTTTGTCCACTTACACTCCTTTTTATATATTTTTAATATTTTTTAATAAAATTTGTTATTTCTCCTTCCTATTCTACCCTTACTTTGCATTAATTTCTTTTCTCTTTACTTTTATATTATTTCTTTTTCTTTATACTTAATTTTCCAACTTGCACTCCATTTTCAATAGTGTTTTCAAAAGGCCTCGGTGCAATTAGTAGTGAAATCACTTATTATAAGTTGTAATTTATTTTGTCAAATTTTCAATGTGGGTGTTGAAATGATAATTTTTATTAAATAAAAGGGGATGGCTGCTTGCGTGGAAATTTATTAAAAGTGAATGACAACAATAATAATTCATCCAACATGTGTTTACTAACTTACCCATGCTATTATTTCTAAATACCACTACTTTTGACCTTTAAAAAACTGTTCATATTAATAACTTTTAATGATAAAAAATCAAGATTATTGTTGGAAATTTGAATAACTTTTCATTCCTAATACTGCCCTAACCAAACATGGGAATGAGAGAAAATAGTGTTCCCTAACATGGGAATGAACATCTTCCATTCTCATCATTCTCATCTCGTGAGATTAGACGTGAGAAGTTTATTCCCAATAAGTTCAATCCACGAACCAAACGGGTCCTAAATAGTATTAAATCCGAAATTCGAAATGCTTAACCTCTAAACGAGAGTGGGGTAATAGGTTAGAAATACAATAAGTCAAAAGTCTGATTCCCTCCCAAGAAAACCAACGAAAATGATATCATTTGGAACCACTTAAGCAATATTTCAGTTAAGTGAAGTAAAATGAACAGTGACCACACACTGACCAATCAACAATACCCACTAGTAGCTTCCTCCCAACACCAAGTTTGTACGTACTTGATGCATGCCATGGATGGTGCATATAATCTTAATAAATTCTATATCTTGTATATGAATGGAAGGTAATTTATTAGCCACCGCCCATCAACTTAAAGTCTAAAAGGGTACTTAAATTATGGACAATAATTTGGTGATTTGAATTAGTAATTAAAGTTACGTACGATTGCTCCGGTAGGGCAATTACTCTTTGCCTAGTGAGGCCTTGCAATCCCACAAACCAGTGCCTTGGCCATCAAGAATTCCGTGAGAGCTAGATATGTTGAGGCCGTGCACATCCTGAAACAAAAGCCAGTTATACCAGCATTTCCAAGGACCCGATAATCGGATGGGGCAACGAGGGTGCCTTCGGCGATGCAAAAGGTGATGGCGTTGTTGTTGCATGGCCCTCTGAAGATGGCATTGCCTAGCAAGAACGTCCCGCGCGGGACGTGAATGACAGCTGGCTTCACGGAAGCACAAGCTTTGTCCCATGCAGAACGGAAGGCTTTGGTTGAGTCAATCCTGCCATCTGGTTTGGCTCCTAAGTTGACCACACGGTAATTATTATAGTAAATTGAACTTAGACCCATAAAATTCATTTTAAATCACCTACAACTCTTTCCTTTATTTTTCTATTTAAAATACCCAATTTTTTCAAATAATACCCGATGACTAGGATCCAACTAAGCAAGTTACCTAATATAACTTAAAATCTGATTTATTATAGGAAATAGAAATTATAGGGACCTATATTGGACAAGTCCTTTTTAATACCACATGACACTAAGGCTGATGAGTTCATGAAGGCAAACACAAGTACACATGAGAGAATGAGAATGAGGCTTCTAGGACATGATGACTTTGCCATTGATTTTGGACACTACAACGTACTTGGTGGAGTTTTAATTTGTCTGAGAGAGAGAGAGAGGGGTTAATTATGAGAAATAACAAATAAAATGATTTTACTTCACGTGCTATGAGCAAATAAAAAAGGTAGTACGCATTATCGTAGGACATATCTCCATAAAAAAAATTAGAGAGATAGAGGTTAATTATGAGCTGAGGTGGTGAGGAAGTTGAATTGTTTAAGGGGTATTTATAGGCAGGGCCGGCCCTGACTTTTGGGTGGCCCTAGGCCATAAACTAAATGAGGCCCTTTTTTTAGTATACAATTGCGAAAAAATAACAAATAAAATGATTTTACTTCACGTGCTATGAGCAAATAAAAAAGGTAGTATGCATTATAGTAGGACATATCTCCATAAAAAAAATTCTGATTAGATATTTAATATCATGAAGGAAATTACAAATTTACAAACCGATGTTCCAGCAACCAATAGCCCAAGGAAAGAGTTTGTTGTTTGCTAGATAGGAAATTGAAAAAATAGTTTGCTAGATAGGAACAAATATAAAGAAAAAATCATAAATCTGATTACCTTTTGAAATTCTCATGCTCCTCTCCTCTTGGTCACCATCAATCTCAAAGACAAAGATCAAAACAGAAAAATTGTGAGCTTTTCAGTGAGAGATCGATTCTTAGGGTTACAATATGAAAAAAGAGGAATGAGAGAAATTGAAAATAATGAATGGATTGAAGAGACATTGGAAAAATAGAGAATAATATGGTGGTGGATTAAATAGAGAGTATGGTCTTCCATGGGGAAACTAGGAGTAGACGCTGCGTGGGAAAAGAGGAAGACTTTTGGGGTTTCTTCTCGGAAGAGGAATCGTGTTTCCTCATTTAATTTTATCGTGTGTTTTTTTTAATAAGTTGGACCCCAAAAATTTATTCTGAATGCGTGAAACGTCCCCTAAAATTTTAATATATTTTATATTTGATGCTGGTATACATATATAATATAAACAATTTTGGGGCCCCCTTAATTGGAGGCCCATATCTCATGGCCATGGCCCTTCCTGTCCCCAAAGGCAGGCCCTGTTTATAGGGTTAAACTATTTACTAAGGGTACGGCACCAAGAATAGTTTTGTGCCAAGAAGGGTTTTGTGCCTTGGTGACATACAAAACCAAACTATTTATGCAAACGATTACTCATTGTTGGCAAAGCCTATTCCACCCATTGTGCCTTAAATCATAAAAAGCAAAAACAAAACATACTAATATTCTAGCCCCAAATGGTTGAACCCTAAAAAGATGCTAGCTAGCTATATCATCAAGAGGTGATTTCCCACTCCAATTTGAATTGGTATACTTTTGCCCTAGAGCCTCTAGGCTAGAGGTCTCTTTGATATTTTTAATTTTTAAAATTTTAGAATGTTTGTTCCGTCCTTGTTTGGGTGACAGGTACACAAAGGATGCTCTCGATGCCTTGCTTAGATTATGTACGTACTTCTAGTCCGCATATGAAAGGATATATTGTACACTACAAAAGAAAGCGGCAAGATGCTCTCTATGCCTTGCTTAGATTATGTACGTACTTCTAGTCCGCATATGAAAGGATATACTGTACACTACAAAAGAAAGTGGCAACAGTCACCATTATTTGGTGATATTTGCTTATTTAGTCACCCTATCAAATTTCACCAAATAATGGGGACTATTACCACTTTTGTTTTTTTTTTTTTGTTTTTTTTGTAGTGGTACCTGGTGCTCCACGTATAGATGTACTACTTGCTTATAAGATACATTGTATATACCAGAGCCGTTTGTCTATAAGACATCACGATGAGAACAGACAGACCAAACAGACTATACTATTCACGAAATTAATGGAATTGGACGGATCAATCTGAATAAGACATAACGATGAGAACAGGTGAATAAGTGTGTATTTACATTACATGCTGTTCACATTTTTTATTCTTGTCCATTAGAACAGAAAATGACAGTTTTTTTTTCAATATTTAGTTAGGCAATATTGTAATTTGAAGGGTGGAGGGCCAGTTATATATAATTTACATATAAAGTTAGGGGAAGCATAAGGTGTGGGGTTTAGGATACTAGGACACGATATGATAGGCTTGAGCACGGTTCGGGTTCGGTTTGGTTTAGTTTCGAGTCTATTGACAAGGTTACTCTATTGACACATAAAGACAAGAACCCCAAACAACATTATCTAGTTTTTGAAATGCACTGGTAGAATGATCAACATGTCGGCTTTCCACTTAAGCAAGCAAAACAAACATGGAAATGCAAATCAGATGAAAAAGAAATATGCGATGCCAAGGAGAAAATCTAACACCTTGTCCAAGATAAGCAACTGAAGGTAGAGAATGGAGAGAATGCTTCAAGGGTATAAATTTCATTTTACCAACGGTTTTATCATGTGATCGTCAATTTTACCTCTTATTTCAGATTCAGAGTTCATATGGTATTCTGATTGTGAAACTTTTAAATGGTTGGAATCAAGGGCGGATTTGCGTATAGGGTAGAGTGGACTTTGGGCTTTCAGGTAGTATTTATAGTAATTCTTCCACTAATGCAAGAGTCGGTTCCAATAAACTTTTATTTGGAATGAATAACTATTTGATGGATTTACATATTACAAAGAGCTAAATTCAGCCCTTATGAAACTGTTTTAAGTCATTGTACAATTGGAATCACAATGGTTGCAAACTATTCTCTAGCATGGCAATTGTACAACATTTCCAATTTGGTGTAGGAAGCTATTGCTATGTGTCTATATCGTGTGATTATCATTTCTCTTCACTCCAGCTTTACCATATCCACTCTTCAGTGCCCCCAAAATCTACCAAGTGCCTTTGCATTTTCACATTACTATAAAATATCACACACCTAGATGTTTTTCCCGGCAATGACATCTGCAAAGTTTTCTTGGCAAGGAATAATCTTCAAGCAATGACGGATCGGTTGAGATGTCTTCTGGACGT